GTGTGTGTGTGTGTGTGTGTGTGTGTGTGTTGGTGGGTGGGTGGGTGTGTGCGTGTGTGCTTGTGCTTGCTTGGGTATATGTGCGCGTGCGTGCGTGCATGCATGGTTTAGTGGCTGGTTATTTGTTTGTGTGTGTCTGCGTGCGTGTGGGAGGTAATCTGCTGGGTGTTGTATGTTGTTTATGTGATCTTTGGACGGTGGTATGATTTGTGTGGTGCAACGTGATTTTTCTCTCGGTGGATATATTATTTTTCTCATGAAAGCCCTGTATTCGACTTGGAAGTTGGGATGCAATGTGTCACGTTTTTGTTACTGTATACATATCTACTCGTCTCGAATTCCAGACTAGGAGAAATCAAAATATTTGTCTCATGTATGAATGTTTTTTTGTTTGTTTTTGGCAATTCTTACTAGAAGCAAGTGTCTCGATACCTGGCCGCGATATCGAACTCAGACTTGTCTGATATGATTGCGAGTTGGCACTGTTGAGCTAGGCTTCTCATAATCTTACCTCTACACTATCTGCGGCATTCACACTTATCAGATCTCTTTGATTGGTTTAGTCATATTGTTGCCACATCTCACGTACATGCCGCAATAACCAGCTACAATCTGACACTCGTCTTGCATTATCTACCATTTCTTCAAACTACCAGTCGGATCATCACCGCTGCACTCTGTGGGGCTACCGCCGGGATACTGGGCCTCACCAATATTGAGGGATTTGCATTTTTCTTCTTCGTATCTAGCTTAGTATCGCTGAGTATCTTTGCCATTCTCGGGTTCTCAGTGGACAATAAATTCAAGTCTAGCACGGCAGTATTGACGGACGGAATTGCCGGGAATATGCTCAGCTACATCTTCTGGTGGACGTATGTTGATCGATATTAACAGAACTGTTTTCACTGCACTGTCCCTATAGCTATATCATACTCATCCCATGCTCAAGATGAGAAGGAGGGGTCTTTGGTTTTTTCTTTGTCTATATTTGTATTATTTTCGATTGTGAGAATATTTTGCGGTCGCTGAGTAAATGATATATACTAAAAAGCACATTGTCTCACATCTACGCACAAACCTTTTTCGTAATTAGGTTCATGTACGGCATCGTGCATGTGTATTGAGAAGCCAGACCAGGTGACAAGAAATAGGCAGTAGTGAGCAGGCCCTGATACCAGTGCTATGACGCGTGAGCTGGATCCGTGAAGAAATCAATTACAGATGAACGATAGTACTCACGCAACAGCGTCATCCTTGACGTATATGCTAGTTTTTATGGAAAACATTAATTTCAGGTGTAAGTTCGTCTTGTATGTTGGTCGCTAGAAAAATGTGCTTAATGCGGATAAAAAGTCTGCTTGTACGTATGACGACGGATAAGGACGGGATGATTCTTTCTGTTCCGTAGGCCACGGGGGTATTCGGGGAATATGAAAAGAAACAATTTTTAGTATAATAAAGTATTGTGAACGCAGCATTCTCGTTCTGAAGCGATCCGGCAGATTTTCTGTCTGGATCCTCAATTGCTTGCAAACGCTTCAATGCTGGTGCTAAAATTGGTGATCAGAGCTTCCAACCACTAGTCCTGTTCCGACTTTGAAATTTGTTTCGGGAAATTAAAAACAAGACTTTCGGGGTGGACAGGAGCAAATAGACTTCTTCCCTTTATTGGGTGTTGAGTGTGTTTCGCTAGTTTGTACAATCATTTCAAGTATATGTTTGTGACTGCTATCTACAGTTATCGCTCGGTGCTAACGAATATGTCTTAACTTCATTTCAATCAGTTCCATATTCACTTCACCTGACTTGTTATCAATGCTGATTAAAACGCGGGCTACGACAGAATAATCCTCGTCTATTTGTCCGGCAACCAGCTTTACAATCACTCAAGGACGCTTCATCTGACCCAGAGTCTGTTTTGGGGCCTGTTTCTGATTTGCGTAATTACCCGCCCGCCCAAGGGAGCTAGCATCTAGACTTACAAGACCGTCGAAAGTGGAAGTCTTGGCAGTCGGCTTCGCTGGTGCTTGCTGTGGTTATAAAATGGGGAATGCAGAACAGGAATGCCAACGCAAATTAAGTATTGTACCTACATATCTGTATAAAAGCCATATACATCATGTGAAACTTGCATACATTTTGTATGCACAAGCTATTATATCACTGATAGTTCTCCACCATCAACGCCCCTCAACATAGACAAAACCCTATTTACACAATGATGTTACGTGTACGTACAATCCGACGAGCGTCCTTGCACTCAATATGCAACAAGTAAACATACCTGTCGAGGAGTTGGTGAAGACCCGAAGTAATTGGGCGTGGCTTTGCCTGTGTTAGCCGGCAGTTTTGCCTGTGGAGTAGATGGTGTTCTTGAGACCGTTTGTGACAGTATTCACATAAGGGTGTATTCTATTTCGAAAGAGGGTAAGCGCACGTCGTGTATGAGCGTTTTCTATTTCATGGAGGGTGAAGTATACGTCGTCTATAAGAATACGATGTAAGAATGCGGAGAGCGCGCGTTCTGGAACCTCATTTTCTTGAATGTACAGGAGAAGGGGGGGGGACTCAGCAACATTCACATCTGCCAGAGTCAGTGACAAACAAAATCCACATCTCTTTATCTAATCGAGTCATCAACACAACAGGAAGAGATTGCAAGTAACTATCAGGTTCGTCGTACCGAATCTGACTGAGGCGAGGCTGACTTTGAAAATGTAATCCCGGTTGCAATACAACAGGCAAGAAAGAACGTCAAGAACACGATCTATACAGACTGCAACCCACGATACTATACTGTGACATGGCAAAACACCATACCCCGTGCTCAGATATACTAAGATTCCGTACCTGCATTCCATAATTTTGACCGCCCGTCTGACTGAACTGTCGCTGTTGTTGCTGTTGCTGCTGATATTGGTGTTGTTGTTGTTGTTGAGTGTTCTGCTGTTGGTACTGGTGTTGCTGCGGTTGCATCTGAGCTGGTTGTTGTGGCACTGGTGTGGCCCCAGAGACAAAGGCGAATGAGTCATTAACCCCCCCAACATCAACCGTAGCAAATGGATTGAAAGAACCCTGGCCGCTGCTAGCAGTTTGCGGTTGTGCTGCGGGTGCGTTAAAATCGCCGAAATCGTCGAGAGCATTTGTGGCTGTATTTGCGACAGCACTGCCAAAGTCTCCAAAGTCTCCGAAGTCGTCGTCACCCACTGCATCATCGCCTCCCATTAGATCTCCGAGCAGGTCTACTTCAGGCGCTGGATTGGACACTTGCGTTTTGACTCTCTCTGATTTCTTGTCGGACTTCTCCTCACTCAGGGACAATCCCGAGAGCGCCACGACAATCTTCATATCTTTGCTCTTGCCCTTGACACTCGATGCATTCCTTGTTGATGCAGAGATGCTAGCGTTGTCTCTGCTCACGGGTCGTCCCAGCCCTTTCTTCACCTGCCTGGGTGGTGATCCTGATGCATCACGTCTACGTGAAAATCGGTCACCTCTATCCGTGCCTCTCGCCCTGTCTCTATTTCTGTCCCCGGACTTTCCTGCGTCACCACTCAGCTTGCGCGTGAACTCCCCTTCGTCTCGCGCCTCGTTGCTTCCTCGTCTCCCACTTCCGCTTCCCTGTCGGTCACCGTCTCTGTCTCTACCTCTGCGTCCATCTCTGCCACTGCCCTGGCTCTTCGTAGGGCCACCCTCGCCCCAGTCCATATCGTTCGCATCGTTCTCGTCTTCTTCGTCTCCATCCGAGAATAGGCCCGTGCCATCCTGTGCGTAGTTGGGCTTTGCCACACCCGCAAATTTGTTTCTCTCCCGGTCCCGATCGCTAGAACGGGCAGTATACTCAAAACTATCATTGCGACTGCCGCTTCCGACGTCTCTGTGTCGGTCGGAGCCACGCGGTGGTCCTCTGGGTCCATTGCTCCCGCTTGCACTTCTTTCTATGTCTTTGAGCTTCATAGACACTTCCTTGGCTTTCGCGCGTACTATGGAATTGAAGATGGCCATTGGAGTAACTTTATTAATCTCGTTGTTTGCGAGTGATCGGTGATACTTTATGTCGCGAATTGTATACCTACCTAATACGCAAAAAGATTGTCTTGAACCGGGCATGATTGCAAAAGGTCAAATGGTGGCAGCAGACCCACCAAAGCCTACTAGACCTTCCCGGCAATATAAATGGTGGGCCAAACAGTATTGGTGTACGCGTTTCTCGCTCAATGTACGATACACAAAATATATTTTTGCTTGCAACTTACCTTACAAACTTGCGCTACGTCGGAGAATACTGACCTATAAACGGACATCTACATCAGATCTAAACTTCATCTTGTTAGGAGTGAAAACACGCAGATACGCATTCGACAACCCGCCAAGTATTTGAACACTCCGTAATATTAAAACATTGTCATTAAATCTCACCTCTAGCACCTTTGTCCTCTCCATCTATATATTGAAAATTCACCATGTCTCGCATGGCCTTCTTGGCCCGCTTGTGTCGCATGAACTCCCGTGCAACCTCTGGCTGCCCTTTCTCAATGAAGAAGTCTAGGAGATTCAACGACTTGAGGCAGATGCGCCAGTGATTGTGTTTGACCATGCGATGCACCAAGCAATTGATAGCGATCCCTCTGTGCGTTCTGACATATGCAGGAGAAGGAAATAAATTACAATCGATGGAAGAGCTATTTTGCTTAGACATACAAGGCAAAATATATGGTTAAAATTCACATACCTCAGGACGTATGCTTACTACTGTGTTGTCAAGTATAGTCAACAGGTGTTTGTTGTACTGTGTATTAAAACATGCATTATCCTCGATCACGGAGCTTAATTAAGCACATAAGATGTTTGCAGGTGGACATAAGAATCTCGAGTGCGATTTTCACAGGATGTACTGTTTGGGTTAATATATATATATATATATGTGTGTGTGTGTGTGTGTGTTGTGTGTGTGTGTGTGTGTGTGTGTGCGTAATAACTTCGTATAGCATACTATTAGTACGTAAGTTATACGAAGTATCATATACTCTATTTCGTCCTCATTAGGTTTTTCGGTTT